CACAACTGGCAATTGTATACATTTATACATCTTAGTTAAGATTGGTAAAACACTTGATAACACACTTTATAAGAGATAAACAGTATGTGAAGTTCATGATCTAAGTGAGCGTAATGATACAAGTTGCATTTTTATGTTTCCTGTTACTTTCCAGAAGTAGATGCTTACTGCTTTTTGATATTACTTCATAATTTTATAATTACTGCATAATTTTGCCATCAATCCTTCCTAATGCAGTGTCTGTACAAGCAGCAACAGATGTAGTGTAGAGCTTCTGTGGTCTTTAATCCATAAGATGGCTGCTATTTGAGTAATTTGGTAATGCAGAGCCCTCTAATTTTATATGGCTCCCTTTTATTTTCTTCTCATTAGAGCTACAATCAGCTAATTGGTTCTTGGTCAACACATTGAATGCCTGAATATTGTACAAAATAATTGAAATTGGCTTGTTCTGCTAAATGTATCTTGAGATTTAAATATTGAGTGGAAACTAGGACATCATGATCAAACTGAAGCTAAATTATTGAGAAACACGAAAACATGCTTTAAGCTATAAATGTTTGGCTTCCCTTAAGCAATAGATGTATGAATAGTTTCTTGATGAATTTTCGGGGAAGTTAAGAGTCCCTTGGTCTTTAAAGCTTGAAGTTCATTTTTACTCCCCACTGATTTACTTTTAAGGACATTTTCCTTGCTAGATTTTCTACACATCCTTACATAGAAATCTTATGCATATTTTCAGTCCTGACACTTACCTAGAAAATTTGGTTTGAAAAGCCAAGCATAGGGCTTGGAACGGTAGCCTGGTGGCTAAAGTCCTCTCGTTGCATGTGCTAGGATCTCATATGGGCACTGGCTCATATCCCAGGTGCTCCACTTCCCTTCCAGCTGCCCACTTGTGATCCGGTAAAGCAATTGAGGATGGCCGAAATCCTTGGGACCCTGCACCTGCGTGGGAGACCAGGAAGAGGCTTCTGCCTCCTTGTTTCAGATCAGGTCAGCTCTGGCCATTGCAGCCAATTGGGAAGTGAACCAGTGGATGGAAGATCTTTCTCTCTGTCTCTTCTTCTCTCTGTAAAAAAAAGTCCAGCGTCCTATATTCAAGGTATATTTAATAGTTTCAATGGGAGTCCTTTTATTCAGGAGCAGAGATGCATACTGCAATGTATCTTCATTTCTCAGTATGCTAGTCTCCCTCATACAGTTCATCTACAGGAGTATATGTTTATACATGTTTACATATATATATACTTATCATGTGTTTCACATTAATATTGCCTTAAATCAGAGATCGTATGATATCTGTCCTTTGAGGATTGTCTTATTTCACTGAGCACAATGGCCTATAGTTGGGACCATTTTATTGCAAATGACAGAATTTCACTACTCAGTCATTAATAAGAATGAAGCCCAACACTTTCCTAATTCTCCCTACCTCTTTATCAAGGTCTCCTAATATAATTGACTGTTTACAGGGCATGCTGTTTGCTGGACTAACCTCAGGCAAACCAACAGCCGTGACACACTCATCTGCTTGTGTGTATCAGCTCAAATGCCTGAACTCATTCTAAACTCAGTCTCACATTTATAAATTCATCTATTAAAAATAAGTTCTTAACATTCCTTTATTTCCATGTTCAAACACCTGATTTCTAAGTACATCCACGTTCTGCCACATTGCCTGTGGTTTTTGAAAGCTGCTATTGCAATTGTCTCCCCTATTCAGAGGGAAAACAAATCAGCAGCTTTCATGTTAAAGCCAGAAGTCACACCAAGAGTGGGTATCAGGCTTCAGAACCTCAGTGACAGTTGTAAGTCTCTACACCTCATCAGGCTACATAAAACAAAAACAAATCATACCATGTGTGACGAATTCGCATCAGTTATAAAGGAGAGGATATAATACTATTCTCCAAAGATCTAGATTTAGCCCAGGACCGTGGGTTTCTTTAACACATTCCAGCCACTCTAACTGTCACAGCAGATGAGAAGTGACATTTTAGCACCAGCAGCAGCTGTTGAAATGTTCTCTGCATTTCCTAGGAACTGCTGATTTCGTTCTGTCTTTTCCAGCCCTCACTCTATTTCTGGTATAGGATTTCTGTTCTGCTCATTTCACAGAGCCTTGTCGTTACTGCCTCCCGTGCTCTTTGCTTTAACGTCTCCTATGTGTGTTCTTGTCCGACAGACATCTAGAAATTCTGGCAGCAAAGTGGACCCTTGGGCATTAAATGACCAAACATCGTTAGTGAAATGCGGGATTTCTGCTCCCAGCCGCAGTCTCTGAAGACATGGAATACCTCATCTTTCAACCAAAGGTTTGTTTTTCTCTCTGGTTATGGGCCCTTTCATCAGAATACAGAAGTTACATTTCTCCTATGTGGTCCTCAGAAGGCATAGCCATACATCTCCACGACAGGCAAAAGCCCCAATGAGTGTATGTTCTTCCAAATTATCTGCGAGTACAGCTGAAATAGGACTAACCTTTGGAAAAAGAGAATTTCCACTAAAACATTCTTATCCAGAGCACAGTTGCAGGCCCGATTTAACTTATTTGGTCACTTTACAAAGTTTCTTTCATCAGATTAAAAACCTAAATGCATTTATCTTATTTTTATGTTACAAGCCTAAATATAATTTAGGAACATCACTTGGCATACTCCTAAACCTTTGTATAGATTCCATATATTATTTAAGCAAATGGTTACCGGCACATTTGCAAAAGCAACAGTAATAAAAATCATTCCCAACAAGAGGAGCCGACAGAACCTGCCTCATTACCTATTAATAGTAACTTCATTGGAGATGATTAAGTTATTTGAAGAGAATTCTTCAAAGCTGTTTCTCTCAAAGGAAACTTTCTGCTGGCTTTACCTTTTTGCGCACGTGAGTTTGGTAATTCTTATTCAAATTCCCTAGCACCCACAATGTCATCTTTGAAAAACAGAATTAAAAGACTTCCATATCCAAATCCTGTTAGCCTAGGGATCCTATCATTCCTGAGTATAAAGAATAGACACAGAATCTCTCTTTGCATTACTAATTGTTTTGTTTCCCTAAGCTTCCAGCAAAACATCTGCCAGACCAGAACACACTCCCTCCACAAAACATAGAATCACGCTGATTAAACCACCTATGCAGTATAATGTAAGAGCAAGTACTTCTCAAGCATCCTACAGTCAGTTTTCAGAAAGAAATATCTCCAAAACTGAATCTCCTCCAAAATTGCAGTTGTTGATCCTGTAATGATCTCATAGTATCTGTGATTTTATTGATTTTGGTCTCGAAACAAGTGTTAAAGATGACAATTCTGAGATAGGAGAAATGTGGGCAGATGCTCACATTCTCACATGCACAGTTCTGCCAAGATATTTTTACATCTTCTGCACATAAACAAAATGAAGGCATGTGTTAGAGTTGTGTGTTACCAGCAACCCACTAGAAGCAGAAGTTTATTCCATACTCATTTCCTGAATGAAACATTAAAATAATTCCACCTAGGAAAAATGAACAGCACTGCTAAAATGAAAAGGAAATTTGTATTTGAGACACCATTCTTAATTGCCAAAATGCACTGAACCAGCAATTTCAGTCATCAAGTCAAATATCACCCTTGCTATTTCTAATTCAGCATAAACTTTGTCTTGCATCTATTCTTTAAACATCAGCATCCGTAGCACCACTACAGCTCCCACTTTGTTGAGGTTCATTCATCTACTGTGCACCAGAAAACTTCATTTTATTTTCTTAATATATTTTTATTTTGAATTTTGAATTATGTGGTACAATTTTGTATAGGCTGGGATTCCTCCGCAAACTCCCAGCCCCCATCAGATTTTTCCCATTTTGTCACAATAGTGTAGTCCTTCATAAGGAATCATAATTCTATCAGTCTCTTATTTGAGCGTACCCCTACATTGTTGGTACAGACAATGTCAGACAGTCCAGTATCCCATTGTCTACACATGCCCAACAATTTGATTGGAAATCCATCTTTCATCTGGAAGCAGGGATATATGTTCCATTATACCCCCATGTCTGTATATGAAAGAACCCAGTACACCATCACTATACATTTTCATAACTGGGAAGCCATGAAATGAGGTCAACAACTGGTATGAGTTAGAACAGCCACAACAACAACAAATTACAACACTATGAAAAAACTGTGCTGCTGAGTAACCAACCCATGAGTGAGAAAAAGGAAACACAAAAATCTCTTGGTAAAAATTATGCCATCATATAATCCATGAGTCCATGATGAATTCGACAAGAGAAAAGGAATTATTTGGAATAAACCAAACTGAAATTAAAAAAAAAAACACCTGCTGGCGTGGATGTGGGAAGAAAGGAGACCTCCCTCACTGCTGGTGGAAGTGTAGGCTAATACAAACATTGTGGAAATCAGTATGGAGAGTGCTTGGAAAATTGCAAATAAACCTGCCATATGACCCAGCAATCCCGCTCCTAGGAATATACCCAATAGAAGTGAAATCTGCATATGAGAAGGGGATCTGTAATCCTATATTTGCAGCAGCACAATCTACAATAGCGAAGACATGGAAACAATCTAGATGTGCATCCAAAGAAGAGTGGTTAAAGAAATTGTGGTACATCTACTCCATGGAATATTATTCAGCTATTAAGAAGAATGAAATTATTCTATTTACAACCAGGTGGTTCCAACTAGAGATCATTATGCTCAGTGAAATGAGTCAATCACAAAAGAACAAATACCATATATTCTCTCTTATTTAAGGAAATCAACATGGAAAATGTAACTTCAATAATCCAATCCATACTATTTTTTGTTTCTTTGCTTTTTTGGCTGTATCCCATGTGTTTTGATTTTTTTTTATTATTTCAGTTTGGTTTATTCTGAAAACTTCATTTTAAATACAGCATGAAAGCAAGAAAGCAGGCCAAAAGAAAAGACTTGAAACAGATCACCCACAAGAACAAAACACTCTAAGGGGAGAGCTACATGCTCATTTTCTTACCTTGGGAGACTTAGGCAGATCCATTGTCCTTTCATTTTGTAAAGTTAACAGAGTTAATTTTGTCTCTTCCACTGAGGGATGTTTGGGAGGACGAGGTGGGGGGTGCAAGAGAGAGCTTTCATATCTCCGTATCATGTAATATTGTTCTTCAGTAATCTCTTCTACCACACTCCTGATCAAAAGTGATCCTGGGTCACTTGACAATTTGCTAACTAACTGAACAGTCATATTCACACGGGCAACAGGAATTTCCCAGCACTCCTTGGGGTTCGCAAAGTCACTGATGATTAGATAAGAGTCAGTGATATCTTCTTCCAACTGCAGTCCAGGCATAGCAGCCAAAATGTCTTCTTCAGTGGAAAGATCTCTCACAGACACTTTCACATTGAAGGGCAGTCGGAACTGTTCACACAGCTCAGAAATCTGATACTGTTTCTTGTCATGAACCACCTCCACAAAACCCCCTTCCATGTACAAAGGGAGCAGAGTTGCCTCATAGGACGTTTTGAGGATTTTTTCACATGCCAGAACAGCCACCATTTTTTCTACTCCTTCACAGAGGACTTCAGTTGTGTCTGACTGATGCACGAGAAACTGATCCCCGACAGACACAGCTGACAACTGATCATGCAGTGGATGGAAGGCCTTGGTGGCCACAACATGCAGGGGCTCCTTTTCACTTGTTGCTATCTGAAGGTCATAGACAGTTGGAAACTCCCGGGGTCGCCGCTTGAATTTGCCTTTGTAACTCATGGGGATCAAGAAATGTCGCTTAGGAAAAGTGCTCCTGATTTCGGAGGCTAAGATCCGTGCAACCTGGTGTTTTTTGTGAATCACAATGGTTTTCCCCGGCTGCAGGATCCTTCTTGGCAGCTTCTTTCCTTTGGGCACTTCTATGACTTCAGCCACAATGGGGAAATCTTTATTGGTCTTTTCTAAGAGATCTTCTGTAGACAACAGCTGGAGGAACCAGTTAGCATCATAAGAGTCAGTAATATCTTTGACTTCCACATCTAAACTGGGTAGGATGCGGACTATATCTTTTCGGACTAAAATGGAACAAAACAAAAGAATGATACTATTTTATTTTCTTGAAAGGCACAATAAAAGTCAATGATTATGCAGAGGTCTCAAGATACTTCAATTTTTAGGAGAGAAAAAAGAATGACAAGGCAAAAAGAAAAATCTCATGTCATAATCAGTTCATTTTGTAGAGACTAAAATACTACTAGTCTTTCTAAAGGCAAAGCAACTTTCAAAAGTAAATCCTCATTTAGATCCAAGAGAGCTCATGAAAGAAATCTAGTTGAGTGTCACAGACCCTTGTATTCCTCAAATCTTGATAAGAGCTGGATATCGATATGATAAATGCTTTATGGGACTTTTGGGAAGTTTAAAATAATCCATCAGAACATCATGGTCCTAATAATGCAAGTGATATTCCAATATATATCAGTGCACAGTAGAGACTAAAGGCCAGGAATAGCTTTATTACCCTTGGAGAATTTTGCAGCTGCCAGAGAAAATCTTCATGTCATGTTATATAGCTTTTGTTTATTATTTTTTATATATATCTTATATTGGCTGTAATTTTTCTGTCTAAATCTACTGAAATGATTTTATGTTATCTCGTTTCACTGGCATTTGACAAAGCTGATTTTCCACATCATCTGCTTTAACATATTTTCTTGTTTTCTTACTTGTGATTCATTTCAATGTCTTTGCTGGTGGGTTTCTTCTCTGTACATCACCCACTCTTCACACATGCATGTCTTTTAGGTTGTTAGAGGTTTTTTTTGTTGTTATTATCCTTGTGTACGATCACGCCTACAGTGATCTTGCACATTCTTATGTTTAAATATCATCTATATGCTCATGAATCGCAAAGTAAAGTTCTAGCCAATTCATTCTCCTTAGCTCCATATGTCTATGTAAGATTGCCATTTGGACATCCAACAGATATCTCAAAATTAACATACTCAAACTGTAACCTGATCTTCCCCCAAACTTGGCACTATCTGTGTCAGTTATTGGTAACTTCTTTTACTTTGTTCAGTCCATGAATCTCAGAGATATCCTCAGCTTACCTCTTTATCTAACATCTGAGATATTATACATTAGGATCTCATATGTGGCAGCCTAACCAGCCTCTTTATACTCAAGTTTTAACAAGGCAACCAAGGGATATTTGCAAATGTTAGAACAATGATGTCCCTCTGCTGTTCATAGGCTGACAATGCTGGTCTTTTTCTTTCTTTTTTTTTTTTTTAAGATTTATTTATTTATTGGAAGTCAGATATACAGAGAGGAGGAGAGACAGAGAGGAAGAGCTTCTGTCCGAAGATTCACTCCCCAAGCCACTGCAACTGCTGGTACTGCACCGATCTGAAGCCAGAGCCTGTAATCTCCAGATCTCCCACGCAGGTGCGGAGTCCCAGGGCTTTGGGCCATCCTCAAATGCTTCCCCAGGCCACAAGCAGGGAGCAGAATGGGAAGCAGGGTTGCCAGGATTAGAACTGGTGCCCATATGGGATCCTGGCACATTTAAGATGAGGACTTTAGACACTAGGCCACCACGCCAGGCCTGCTGGTCTTTCAATACTAACAAAACAAAAGTCCTTATTTGGTCCCGATGTTTTATCATTTGAATAACCATATCTATCTGACCAGTTGTCAGTCAGATCTTTTCATGGCATGTCATCTACTTGCTCCATCCTTTAGTCAGATATTTTCACAGGCAACTCTTTGAGTCTGCTTAAATGTAATTTTGTCAATAAGATATACTATAGGTGCCCATTTAAAACTGCAACCCAGGCTGTTTAAACAGGTAAAGCCACCATCTGCAATGCTGGATTCCCACCTATTCATGCCCTGGATGCTCCACGTCCAAATGAGCCCCTTAGAAATGGTCTGGAAAAGCAGTGAATGTTGGCTCAAATACCTGGGCCCTTGTTACCCCTGTGGGAAACAAGCGGGCAAGGCTTCCTGGTGAGGATCCCAGCACCTCATCTACTGCTGCCAAGTTGGGGAGGGGGCGCAAATCCAGGTCTTGCAAGAACCATCTTGTCTTGTCTGCTGGCCACCTGACAGTGAGCTCTGGGGTCTTGGGGGTCTGGAATTACTGCCTAAGGACATCCATGAATAAGTCCATAGCACATGTAGGTGAGGAATGAATCCTGGGGAACACTCAAAGATGGGGCCACTGTACTTGCAGGTAAGCGAGGGGTCTGAGACCTGGTGGCTTGGAGAGGAGAGACTGGAAGATTTGTATGGGTCAGACAGATGCCCCAGCCCACATGGAAATGTGGAGGTGGGTTTGTTAACATGGAACATTACTGCCTGCCATGTGCCAGTCCACATGAAAACTATGGCTGGGGATGCGGGCCTGTGTAGCAGGACTAGATCCTAGTACAGGACTAATTGTCTGAACAGGAGACGGGTCACGTTAGGCAAGGCAATGACCCTAACAGCACACAAGGAACAAGGTCTGGAGGTAGATTCTGTGGGGGATTTGTGGGTCAAATTCCACAGAAATCCAAGTCCCATTGGTTAGCTCAAGAGTTCGGGTGATGATAGACTGAGCCAGGTGTGACTATGGAACCTGACAACACTCATGCATACAGGTACCAATAATAGTCTGGGCAAGTCCAGGCTGTAGCACCCACATGTGCATCCTAAAACAGGATGTGGTATAGGCCAAGCCACAGCTTTTACCAGATCATACTAGGCCAAGATAGAGGAGCAGGCTATGCCGGGCAAGGAACTAACACCCACTGGCATTCATTAGATCTGGGCCTGGGAATGGAAAAAGTATGGGAACTTGGAAAACTCCCCCAATGGGTCAATGCTCCTGCTGGTTAGCATGTGGTCCAGGCCTAGGAGTTGGGCAGAGAAGGCAAAGTAGCTCCAACTGTTGGCTAATATGCTGGTTGGTTTTGGAAGTGAGCAGACTGGGCAGGGATGAACAAACCTTAGCTTACCAACAAGTGCAGAAATAAGGCTGAAGCGCAGGTCATGCTGGGCTAGGCTATCACACCTACTGGTTTGCATGAACCAGGGGTGGGAGCAGACTGATCAGGGCCAGGTTCCAACACGTACCAGTAAGAGTTGGGACTGAGAGCAAGCCAGGTTAGGCTAGGCTACAGCATCCAAAGGCAAATGACAAGACAGGGGAGGGGCTATGCCAAGCTGGGTCAGAATAACCACTAGCACTCACAAGATCTATGACTGGGAACAGACCTGGTTAGGCAATAGAGGGGGTGCCCTGGCTGGGTTGTGTTTCCCACTGGTGAGTGCAAAGGCAAGAGTGGGAGCTTCTGGCTGGTCTAGGCATGGCTGCAATATCCCTCAGCACAGGTGTGGACTGGGTTAGACTCCAATACCACTGGTGCTCCTGAGAACCAGGGTAAGTGTAGAACAGACTGGGTTAGGTCTCTGCCCCTGCTGAGCAATGTGAGTTGTGTCTGTGTGTGGATCAGGCTTGGCTACACTTTAACATCCAACAGTAAAAACCAGAATGGGTGAGGGCCAGTGAGGAAAGGCTACTGTTCCTGTTAGGACAGAAGGTAGACTAAGTAGGACTGGCCCAGGGACACAACAATGTGCATGAGATCTGGCATTGGGAAGAGATCCTGTTGGAGGAGTTTGGGCAACTCCTCTGATGGAACAAAGTCCCTGCAGGTGAGCGCAAGAACCGTGATACAGAGCAGTCTGGACCAGGCTAGGCAACCATACCCACCAGCACGCATTTGGTTCAGGTCAGAAGTGAACCAGTCTGGGCCAGTTCATATCACCCACTGGTGAAGCTAAGCACCAGAATGGAGTACGGGTCAGACACAGCTGGGTCACAACACAAGCCAGTTCACATGAGGGCCAGCACTGGGGATTGGATGGGCTGGGCTAGGCTGTAGCCCCCATCAGCCTGAGTTGCAATAGGGGTTGGGCCTTGCCCTGCCAGGCTGCAGCACCCACTAGCAAATGCTGAGGAGAGGCAGGCCATGCCAGACTGGGCTGCAGCACCCAACCAGCACACATGAGACCCAGGGGGAGAAGAAGTGAAGCCAGTATGGGGGTAGTGGAGGGATCCCATGCTAGGCCACTACTCCCACTGGTGAGTGTAAATTGGGGATTGGGGGCAGAACAGGCTGAGCAGGGCTACAACACCTACTAGCCTCATGTGGGATGGATCAGGGCAAAGCCAGGCTGTATTGACTATTATAAGCCACAGTGAGTGATAGGCTTTGCCACAGCATCAGCTGGCAGATGTTGGCATAGGGAGAGGGAAAACGTCTGTCATGTTAAACTGCAGAACCACCTGGAAAGCACAAGATACCGGGAGTAAGGGTGAGTCCATTAGGGAAACAGTGAACACCTCCCTGTTGGGTTGCTACTCCCATTGGTGAGCATGAGAACCAGGACTGGGGCAGGCTTGACTAGACAGTGTGGTACCTGCTGGTAGATGGGCTGTTGGATAGTGGGGTTGGTTGGGTTGAACCAGGTTACAATGCCCTTTGACATGTATGAGAGCTGAATTGGATGTGGAACAGTCTGCTGTACATAACGGCAAGCACGGGAACCTGAGCATGGGACCGGCCTGATGGGGGTTATTGAGGGTCATTATTAACTAGGCTGCAGCTCCCACTGGTGTACATGAAAGCCAACTGTGTGGTGGGCAGGATTGGGCTTGGTTCCAACACCCATTGGAGGGCTGGAGACAGAACTGATCTAGCAATTGCAACCACCAGCATGTTGCATAATCTGATTGGAGTGACAGACTGTGCCAGACACTGTATTGGCAAGCATACAAGAATCAGGTCTGGGGTCACCACAGATGATGTTCTATGAGGATTCCCCCAACTGAACTGTGGGACCCAGAACCCCAACCATGAAGAGAACTGCAGGTTCCATGGTCTGACTCCATCCCAAGGTGAAGAGGCATTTGGGAGGCTGGGTATGGCTTCTTCCCTAATTCCCCCCTTCCTTTAGATACAGAAAGGAAAAAATAGAATATGAAAAATGGTGATCTCACCCACCTTCCTATAGCCCTTGA